GACAGGAATACAGGGAGTTTTTCATTAGACATTAACAATTTACGCTCCACAACTGAATCATTGCATTTAGAGCAAAAAGATCTATTCTTAGAAGTAGTTGCATTAATTGGGAAAGTCATGTTTTTTCCTTCATACTTAATGGTCATATGAGAAATCGCAACTATACTTATTAAAGGAATACAAAAACAAACCAGCCCATTCCCAGAAACATACTGCGCTCCTCCAGAGGATGGATGCCTTGCGCCATCCACCTCAGTAGGGCCTTGCCATTGCCTGAGTCAGGGGAGGGGCACAGCAGGGTTTAATATAACTCAGTCAAAGTTCAAGGTAGTTAGTACACAAAATAAATATGTTTTTACTCTTGTTAATTTTATTTTGTATTTTCCTTATAAACGGTCTAAATGTTGCTGTTAATGTTTTACAGAGGTATTGATTCAAGAACACACAACCTGGGTTACTTTAAGATAATAAGCCATCACTTAAAGGACAGATAGGATAGTACAGACTCCAATTAATAAAAAGGGATAAATGACTGTAAGGTTATAGACATTAAAATTAAAGCCCAGTATTCTTAATTTAAGACTGGTGAGATTGACTTGCTAGATATTTAAGATCAAGACAAAATTAAAGTTAAATTAAAAGGGACCAAGAACCAATATTTGGCTCTTGCCTTCTGAGTCAGTCTAAAACCCAGGGAACAGGGAACTTCTCTAAAGAGCTTTGCAACTCTGGGCCACATAACCTCCCAATCAGGGAGATTCATGAGACCACTGGAGAACAGAAAGCCAATGGAGGCACTTACCATGAAGAGGAGGGTTATTGGAGAAGGGAGACATCCCTGGTGCTTCCAAGGGAAGCCACATGGTCAGCAAGACCTGGACCCATACTAGTGCAAATGGCATTAGCAGAACTAAGAAACTGCTCTCAAGTTCCCCCAAGAGTGACTGTCATGGAAACTTAGCTGACTCTTAATAATAGATAGAAACAAAAGTCAGTTTGACTTGCTTCATCTTAAACATCTAAGGGAAAAAAAAACAAACAGTTTAAACCAAAACATAGTCACTCCTGGCATTTAAAGATAAATAATAATAGTTATCAGCAGCACCTCATAAATTCTGGTATTGGGATCTAAATTTACTCCCTAACTTGAAATGTCAAACCATTTAGATCATTAACCTACTACCTGCCTTTGTATTATGCTTGTCAAAATCCTGTTATCTGAGAGTTCTCAATACACCCCCCCCTTTGCAACTTTTTGTGCTATAAAACTGTGCTCCTAGAGAGCTGGGGTACTGTTCTTTAATCCAAGGATTTCAGGAGAGACAGTCCTGGCAGGAATTTCAAGCTTGCTTTAATTTGATTTAAAATTGGAGTCAATGGTCTTTTCTTTGCAATTGTGATTTAACACAAACTGAGGTTTAGAGTGGGAAAAGCATCTCATTCATTCATTCAACAGACATCTGAAGGAGTAATTCCTATGCATACATAGGTGGCTCAGACTCCAAGGATACAAAGATGATTAAGACAGTCTCTGCCCTCACAGCCCACTATGGACAGACACAAAGTGTACTAAAGTAGATGGAGAATTATAGCTAATACTCATTGGTATTTTTGAAGAAACAGTTAATTGTCACGAGCTTTACTCATTCAATCCTCCTCAAAGTGTATCATCTAGATACATTTTTTTTCATAGAAATCACATAATTTATTCTGTTGTATAAAAAAAGTCATCCTTATGTAACAAAATGTCTTCTTAGAAGAAGGAATATATTATTTCAGGTCATAAATAACCAGCAAACACCTGTTGGCAACTAAATAAACCAAAACTTGTGTTTTCCACCAGTGAGAACAGACCTGCTCAGATCTATTTACAAGATAGTACAGTACTGAACACAAAAATTGAGGTATTTGGTTCTTCTAGGACTAGACACTGACATTTGTGAAGGCAGACCGCCTACGGGAAAATAAATAAGGTATATTCTCTTACATATATGTCATCGGGAATGGTAATACTGGTAGGTATGTCAAGCATCAAGTTTCTAGAAAAAACGGAGGCAAGCAAAAAGAAAGCAGCTCACCCACGAGTCCTTTATCTTCTGCCCCGTTTTGTCAGAGGGACTTGATGTATATTGGTCCGCAAAGTGCTGAATTCACCATGGCAACTGCTCAAAACCCAGGAGAACTTGGGTGAAATTAAATAAATAAGGACCAGCACCCACAAGCCCAACTCTGGAGTTACTGTCTCTCTTCTGGAGGAAGAGTCTGCAGTCCTGGTGGGATGGAAGCTCCTCACCTCCAGGGCCTTTCAGCAGCTGGGGGAGGTGGTGATGGGGCTCTGAAGGTAGCTGAGCACTGTTTGTGGAGTGGACGGAGATGGAGACAGGGAAGTTGAAGATGGTGGTGGTGGAAGTGCCTCGGTCCAGCACAGCCATGGCAGGGATCCCGACCTCTGCCGAGCAGTGCAGGGCCAGCACCTGGGACTCGAACTGCAGCAGCTGCCCCATGAAGCCGAAATTGGGGGAAATGATGCTTCGCCTCTGCTTCACAAACTCAAAGGCCTCATCCAGCTTCACCTGGTTAGTCCTCATGAGTTAAGCGAGGCAGATGGTGGCTGACCAGGAAATGCCGGCCTGGCAGTGGACGAACACCCTTCCCCCTGCATTCTTGATGGAATCTATTAAGTCAGTGGCCTCATTGAACCAGGAGCTGATTCCTCCTTGTGATTGTCCTCCACAGGAATGCTCTTGTACTGGTAGTGGCCCTCAAAGTGGTTGGGGCAATTGGCCGAAACATTCATCAGGGCAGTGATGCCTGAGGCATGTCCTTGCGGGAAGCATGGTAGGCACTGACCAGGTACAAGAAGGGCAGAATCTCCACTGGGCCACCTTGGTCGTAAAGTGGGGTGCTGCAAGAACTGCATCCAGATTCTGCGCTGTCAGGGACACTAGTACTCAGGGGAAGGCTGAGCCCCATGGGGGTCGACTGTTTGTTACAGAGCTCCGGACAGGAAGCTGGAAAACCTTCATATCTTCCTTTGAGGAAGAAAACTTGCACAGCCCGCGCCCAGGGCCAGGGTGCTGTCGCGCTAGGCGCCGTCCAGGGCGATGCTGCGTTTGTCCAGCAGAACCACGGCGTGGTAGGCGCCGGCCAGCAGGCGGCCGCGAAGCTCGGTGTTGGGCACGATGTGCTCCAGGCCCATGGCACCCTTGGCACAGCCGAACGACGGTGCTAAAGCGGACGTTGACAGAGCCCGAGATGTGGCCGGCATTGAACGCGAGATAGGAGCTGCAGTCCAGCTGCAGGCACTGCGCCGCGCTCCCACAGCAGCGCCCACAGGCCTCCGGTGTCCAGCGTGCCCACCTCCATGACCATGGCCGGCCCCAGCGCCCCCAGCGTGCCTGGTCCTCGCTGCTCTTGGTCCTCTGAAGTCATGGGCAGGGCGGCAGCTTTCGAGGAAAAGCACGACCCTGGGTCTCTGCTCTCGGATCTAGCAAGGGGTGCTAGCGGGACTCCGGGCCTCTCTTGCTCTCTGCCACCCTGTCCGACCTGTGCGCCCGCGAGGCTCACATTTCCCATAGATTCACAGATAAGACAGAATACAACGATTATATAAAGTTTCATAAATAGCAGGTGGCAGAGCCAGGATTCATACTCAGTTGGTTTAGTGCCAGAGGTTCCACTTAGCCATATTGTTGTAGGGACAAACGAGGCAAGGCACCGAAGATAGCTGGAAACAGTTTTATTTGGCTGCAGCCAGGTTCAGAGGGTACAGCCTTTGCTGTAATCAATCAATCCCCCTTGACCCCCGAGTTCAGGGAGTTTTAGAGTTTTATACCTAGCATGTAAGGGGAGGGGCTCAGAAGTTCACAGTCTGCAGAAGTTCACATAAAAGCAGCTTTTTCTTTCACTGTTCTGGGCAAGTTAACTCTTCAAGGACAACACCTGAGAAGGGGAGAGCCTCTTCTCCCCTTTCTTTCTTCCCCCTGCCAGCTGTTACCATGGAGCCCATTTGTAACTTATCTTAAAAATGTAGACATCTGTCTGTGAAGCCCAGCTCAAGGCCAGAGGCCTTGTTTGCACATTTCTTCAAAGTATATACAAGATACGTTTGTGAAAACTAATAAGGGGGTGTCTAGCACCTGGAGTGCTAGTATCTTTTCAACAAGTGGCCAAGTAAACAGGGTGACATGAAAATAGGAAGTTTATCTACAATGGATTCTTGCTGACAGTCCTAAAATCAGCCATAGTGAAGAGGGCTTTTCTGTGGAGAAAGAGGGTGCCACTTCAATATGAAGCTCTAATATTACCCAGATAATAAGGTTGCACACCTTTGGCAGTACCAGAGCCCTAAGGAGAGACAATGGTCAGGGGAGGTTTCCTGAAGGACTAAGAGTTAGCTATTGCTGGAGAAGGAAAAGCCTGGAAGCCACTTAGGAGGAAATGTGCACAGCATCCAGTCCAGGCAGGGACAGGAGTTTGCGAGGAGGCACAGGGCAGGCCAGACCCAGCTTAGAAACGACAGTGGTTCATATCCCAGAGGCAGCTGTAGGTCTGGAGTGTTTTAAGCAAAGAAGAGACTTGGTCAGATTTCCATAAAAACCATCCCAGGAGCTGGGTGAGGGTGGATGGAAGCCACAGAGACAAGGGCAGAGGCAGGGTGGGCGGGGGGAGGAAGAAAAATCCAGGAAGTCCATGGTTATTTGGGGTTAAGAAAACAGTGAGCAATTTTGGAGAACACCCAGTTTCTGCTCCTAATCAGCGGGTGGGGGTGCTCTGATGAGGTCAGTTTGGGTTGCGAACCCAGGTCTTGCTACTTCCAGGAACATGGACTTTCCCTGCCTGGCTGCAGGCCACCTCTGGCTACCGAAATGCTCTGGCCGAGGCGGCGCCATGCACGGTCCTAGGCGCCAGGGGGCGCGCCTGCACCCGCTCGGGCCGCTCTGGCCCAACTCGTCTCAGTGGCCGCGGAAGGTGACGTGGACACGGAAGTGGTCGTCGTCGCAGCTGCACCGGTGGGAGCGGGGCGCGGGGATCGGAGTGCGTCCGGCGAGCGGACGGGCGGCGGCGGTCTCGCAGCGGCCGCAGCGGCGGAGGGCGCAGGCGTGGTCCGTTGGGTGCGCCTCTGCTGAACGAAGAGCGACCTTTCAGCCTCTCTCCTGCCCGTCGAAGTCCCGCAGTCGGGGCCCGCTCAGCCGGCGTCATCATGACCAAGGCCGGTAGCAAGGGCGGGAACCTTCGCGACAAGCTGGACGGCAACGAGCTGGACCTGAGCCTCAGCGATCTGAATGAGGTCCCGGTGAAGGAGCTGGTCAGTATAGCCCCACAAGGCCCAGGAGCCTACTATGCTTGGCACTGGCCACTGCGTGGGCCGCCTCCTTTCTCAAGCCTCAGTTTCCCATCTTTAAAACGAAGTGGTGGAGGAATGCTAAGTGCTCGGTGGGTTGCTGCGTCCGGCCCCAGCGTTTCTGGGATGTACACGTGTCACTTTGGCGCTGTTCCAGAAGATAGGGAGGATTTGCCTGTCCGACCCTGGGGATTTTCAGGGCCAAGAGTGAATCTGTCTCCCTCTTGGGGGCTTTCACAGCGCCCAGTTACGTGCAGGACCCCCGGTAGGAGCGGCCAAGGGGTTGCTGGATGTATTTCAGAATGAATGAATGAATGAGTCGGTCCGGGAAAGCAGGCCTCCTGATAGACCTGGGTGTGGCCCAGAACCCAGCTTTTCTAGGAAGCTGGCCATCCCAGCTGGCTACTCCAGCCTCGAGGCAGCCTTCCTTGAAGAGGTGAAGTCTCCATGCTTGACTCTCAAGGTTTCATCCCACCTGCCCTGAACCTGGCAGGAATCCCTGCCGACTACCCACCCCACCCTAAGCTAAGGCCTGGGGCCCCAAGGAGATCACACATCTAGTTGCCATTGTAGAGCTGGGTCCGACGTCCCCTGCTTTTCTAAACCACCAGATCCCCATCCCCACCACTACCCTTCTGGCCTGCCTCACTTGGGATGGCCTACACTCTCCTTCCTTTCTTCCTTTACAAATTACATTTGCCCTTGACCCTTGGCCCAGTCTTCCCTTTATTGTGGCTTTTAATGTGGTGACTAGAATGGGATTCTCAGTTCATAACCCAGCTCCATTGCCTAATAGCTGAGTGCCCTTGGCAAGTTGGTTAACCTTTATGTCTAAATTTCCTCATTTATAAAATGGTACTAATAGTTTCCATCTCATATACTTTTTATGAGGATTAAATTGTAATGTAAAATGCATGGAAGGTAGCATGTGCTGATAGATGGAATTGTTATTGAGGTGTTTTTCTCCCTGTAGTATCCAAAACTTTTTTGGGTGGTCATACTTCATTTTGAGGACTTTTGACAGAAAAGTCAAGGTTGGCCCAAGGTCTTTAATTAAATGTTCACTTCGTTTCCCACCCCAAGAAGATGGTCAACATTGTTTTAGTCTGGCCTTAGGCTGCTCTCTGAAACGGTTTAGTCCAATGGTCAGTGCACATTATCTCCAGGGGGGAAAAATCTGGACACTGTGGAAAAATTGAGGTGGGCTGTGAGGGCCTCCTTTCACTCTGGCATTCACTCTGGCATACCTGTTCCTTCAGCCACGAGTTGGCCATCACATATGGGATATTCAGTGCCTTCTTTGAGGAAGGCCCTGAATTGGGGAATATGTAAATTGCAGAGATTTATAAGACATAGTCCCTCCCCCAAAACCTAGTAAGGGGAGTGATAGAGAAGAATTTTAAAGTGCTATGGAGAATTTCTAAGAATTGAAGTTTTCCTTTCTCGGAAGTTCCACAGCTAAATCCCTCCTCTTTGTATTCTTCCCTAGATCGTGGTTGACTGGCTCATTTTTTTTCTTTTATCCCCAGGAACATGGTACTTTAGTGATTTTTTTTTTTTTTTTTTTAAGGCCTTTCTTAATCGTGGGAACTTTCTTTGGAAAATGAGCAGATGTTACTGAATCGTTCCAGGTGTTGGTTTGACATGTTTTTCTTATCTCTTCTAGGCTGCACTTCCAAAGGCCACCATACTGGATCTGTCCTGCAATAAACTGAGTAGTCTACCGGTAAGATTGGCAAGCAACCATGACTTCTGGAGCCTGGATGCATTGCCTTCCTGTTGCTGGGGGTGGGAGGGTCATAAGATATAATTTCAGGATTGGCCTACAGGCAGGCTCCAGCTAATCTGGGTATGTTGGGGAGGAGATGGATGGAGTGGCTTGTCTCAGAGGGAAGGGAATTGAGGTACAGGCCCATTCTAGCAGTGGGGAAGTCAGGCCACAGAAAACAACATCGACAGGATGCTGGCTGGTCACTTACAGGGCTCATCTTCTTTCTTGCTTTATTCCTTTGAAAAGTAATTTACCTCCCTATTGCACAGAGGAGGCTAGAGACCATTTTGTTAGTTGCTCTGCATTGCAGAGAGAAAGTACGAATAGTTTACCAGTCCCTCCATGCATCTTGTGATGAGACACAAAGCAGAATGTGATTTTATAAGACTATCTTATCATTATCCTCCCAAAGACTTGAATTACTTCATATTTGCTTTTTGTTGTTGTTGTTGTTGGGCACATCCATTCTGTGTCAAAACCTTTTGATTTTGCTTGCATCACTTTTCCCAGTTCTCCCTTTGCTCCCTTGCTCCTGGGCAGGTGCTAGATTCCTTCAGCCCCCTCAGCCTCTGCTGGGTAATGACTCCCTCCTCCATAGCACTGCTCCTGCAGTCGGGCCTGTGTTGCTGTCACTGCTGCCTCTTCCACCCTTCTCTCTGGCCATGCCACTCCTTGTTTTATCCCAGGGTAGATTCCCACTGGGTTTGGCTTAGGGATCAAATTCAGAAGTTGGCAGTTTCTTCTTTGGATCATTAGTCCAGTTCTCTCTTGGCATTCTCCTGAGCCTCTTACTGTCTATAGCATCTTTTCACAGTTCATCAAAACTATTTCTAACAGTTCAGGAAGCATCTGAGGTCCCACTTCTTCCAGGAAGTATTGTTTCTAATTAAAGAAGGGTAGCAATTCCTTGCAGCTTCACACCTGCTCTACACGTTGCCAGAATTATTCGGCGCCCCCAAGTGCACTTTTCAGTCTGACTGTTTTGTTGTCTGTCCCAACAATTTCCATTTTGCTTGGCAGTGCAGATCCCCTGGCATTTACAAGTCCCCAGAGAGCATGAGTAGTGCCTCATTAGCCAGCTAGTGCCATCACTTTCAGATGGGTTCTGAAAAGGTTGAATGTGGGGATGTTTTGGCATTTGCTGAAGAAGAGCTGGGTTATAGGCTGGGTGGGCCCTAGCCAGTCAGCCGGCTATTCCAGGAACACTCATTGAGCACCTGTGCAAAGTACTAGGCGCTGCAAGTAACAAGACTGAGATTGAGTACTCAAGGCTTAAACACTGTGTTTTGAGAGATCCTATGAAAGATGAAGATAGGGTGCTGTGGGAGGACAGAAAGGTTCCTTGTCACTCTAGTAGCAGTGTGGAAGATGAGCAGGAAGGAGAACAGAGGAGGAAGGGATGTACACATTTTTTTGCTAGATGGTACTATGCTGTCTTACGCGCCTGCCTCAGTCACGACCACTAGCAATGGCAGGTTTTCTCTCCATGTTCATGCTGGGAGGAAATAGCTGGTAAGAGGTAGAGCTGGGATTTATGCCTAGGTGCCTCTAACTTCGGGACTCCCTGGCAATTAAACCAAAGGGTGTGAGCCCCAGGCTTAAGTGGTCTCTCTCTGGGTCCTAGTCGGATTTCTGTGGCCTCACACACCTGGTGAAGCTGGACCTCAGTAAGAACAAGCTGCAGCAGCTGCCAGCTGATTTTGGCCGTCTGGTCAACCTCCAGCACCTGGATCTCCTCAACAACAGGCTGGTCACCCTGCCTGTCAGCTTTGCTCAGCTCAAGGTAAGAAGCCATACACCATGGTTTCACAGCCAGGCATGGCCAGGCCCAGGGTCTGATTGTGCATGACCCTGAGAAAGGTAGTCAAAAATATTACCTTGCTGGCCTGAGATGGCATCCCTGGGGGTGGAACACAGAGGAGCTTCCTTCTTGCCCACTCTTCTACCTAGAGGGACAGTGTGTGAACTCAGGCTTAGTCTGCCTCTTTACCCATCTCTTTAGAACCTGAAGTGGCTGGACCTGAAGGACAACCCCTTGGACCCTGTCCTGGCCAAAGTGGCCGGTGACTGCTTGGATGAGAAGCAGTGTAAGCAGTGTGCAAACAAGGTGAGCACGGGGCTCCTGGGTGTCTCCTTCCCATGTTCCCCTAGGACCTTCCTTGCCCTCTTGTTTTTTTTTCTTCCAGGGCACTGATAGCTGTTGACTAAAGTGCTAAGGTCTCAGTGGAATTAGTCTGTTAAACCCTGGGGAGATTTGTTTCTATGTTTACCTTACAAGTACTAGAATACCACCATCTTCTACTTTATGCAGTACTTCCTTTTCTAAGAAACCAGGGCCTGGGCTGGGGGTGTAGCTCAGTGGTAGAGTGCTTGCTTAGCATGTGCAAGGCCCTGGGGGTCATCCCAGCAAAAAACAAATAAAAAACCCAGTAAATCAAATGAGTAAATGAGGAAAACAAACCAAAAATCTGCATTAGAACACTATGTTGATATTGGTTTTAATGGGAAAATAGGGATAGGGGCTATATAACCCTTTTGAGGAACAGTTATTGTGTGAGTTTTAATAAAGGTATTCAGATTTATAAATTTAGGTCTGTGGATACAACTGAGTGGTAGAGTGCTTGCCTAGCATGCTCAAGGACCTTTCAATCCCCAGCAGTTGGGGAGGGGATTTATAAATCTATACCTATAAACAGACAAGTCCAGTGCAGACATGGCATTTGATTATAATTGGGGTCATCTGATAGAGGAGTGAAGAACTACAGGCTTCTCACTAGGCAAACTTTGCTCTTGGCCAGTAACCATGACAATGTGCTGCCCTCCCTGCTCATTAAGAACAGTATTTTGTGGAGCACAATCACATACCTATAACCCCAACAACTCCGGATGCTCAGGCAGGAGGACTGCAAGATTGAGGCCAGCCTCAGCAATTTAACAATACCGTGTCTCAAAAAATAAAAGAACTGGTGATGTAGCTCAGTGGTAAAGTGCCCATGGGTTCAGTCCCTAGTACTATGAAGAAATAAAGAGAACATGGTGCTTTAGAAGTGATGTAAATTCTAAAAACTGACAGCAGCTACCACTGATTTTTCCTTGGTCCTAGATGCTTTGTGTATGTCATTTCATAGTCCTCCTAACTCTAGGAAGTAGGTATTGCTTCCATTTCTGTGCATACACTATAATTTAGCTCTTCATTCAGCAGATATGTTGGATCATATTAAATTGCTATTTCACAGTTTGTGGCTTACAAAAGTAGTTTTTATTGAGTGCAAAGGTCTTTTCTGCTCACACATCCCTTTCAGACATGACCAGGAAGCACCATGCATTGTGGATATGGTCACTGAAGCCACAGTCTCTGGCACTTTGGCTCCAGAGCTGCAGCACACCTGTAGGCATTGTAGAGGAGTGGGTTGGGCCAGTCAGAATGATGTTGCTGGTCTCTAGGACAAAATCTGTCCTCTGGGAGCTCATAATCTCCATTGGAGCAGTCTCTCCCATTTCTGAACTACCTGTGTTTTCAGATAATTAACTCCTGATGGCAGTACTTGTAAAAAGATAAAAAGGGACATCTCTTAGCCAGATCAACTGGGTAATCGTGCATTTGTTTAGTATTCAGATTTTGTATTCAGACAGAAGCTTTGATGCCCTTACCATCGTGCTTGCCCTTCTCCAGACCTGCACCTCTTTGCTGAGCAGCCATTTTTATCAACTCAGCTGTCTTGGGAGAGGTGTCACGTATCAAATGCCTCCAGTTACGTACACTCTGTGCTAGCCACATGGGATACCTATGGACAGGATAGTTGCAATCTTACGACTGAGGCAGGTTGCAAGGAATTACAGGGAGAAGGGTTCCCGAAGTAGTTAAAAACAGGGGAGGGTCAGGAAAGTGTATTGGAGGGAATGCTGTTCCTGCTGGTCAGGGAGTTTCTGAGAGGATCATATGAAATCATGCACTTGAGTGATTGTAGATGGCAGGACTGTCTATAGATAATAGTCAATATTGTGTTCCAAAAATTTTTCCTGGCAGCTTTAGTGAACTGGATTTATATGACTCTTCTGCTACTGAGGTTGGTGTAATGACTTAGGATGCAGAAATGGGATTAAGTCATCTAGTTCTGCATTGCTGCCAGGGCCCCTGGTGATCTGGGATCCTGAAAAAAGCAGTCTTTTTTGAGACTTCCTGAGCAAACATGCACTTTGAATGTTACTACTTGGAGTAGTTCAGAGCCCTCCTTTCCTCTGACAGGTGCTACAGCACATGAAGGCTGTGCAGGCGGATCAGGAGCGAGAGAGGCAGCGGCGGCTGGAAGTGGAACGAGGTAGGTGGCTGTCCCCCATCTGGTCATCTTCCAGTCCTTATCCCAGCCAGTTGAGTCTTATGCTTCAGGTGCTGTGCTAAAGAGCGAGTGCTGATGGACAGTGTGGTGGTAGATGGTGTTATCTTTATCTGATGACTCTCTCTAGTCCTGACTTCTCCACTGAGCTCCATTCTTATTCTTAGAGGGTTAAAAGGCATCTCAGAAAAAATAATTTGAGAAAAGGTATCTCAGATATGGCTGAAGCAGACCCGTTTCCCTTCAGCCCTTTCCCAGTCTTCCCCCTAAACAAGAAGTCACTATCTTTGTAGTTATTCAAACCTAAAATAGGAAAGATGGGTCCCTTTCTTTTGTAATCAAATCTAGTCTGTCAGCAAGTCCTCTTGTGACACTTTCTCTACCTTCAGCACTACCTCTGAAAGAAGACTTGAATGTGCCATATCCATTAAACTCATCCTCACATGGCAGCCTGGGATATCTTTTTATTTTTGTTCTTATTTATTTTGTGTGGTGCTGGGGATTGAACCCAGGGCCTTGTGCATACTAGGCAGTGCTCTAACCTAGAGCTATACCTCCAGCTCTTGGGGGGATCTTTTTAAATAAGCAGTGCTACTGTACCCTCTAATGACATTCCATTGAATTTAGAATGAAGTCCAAATTCAGGTGTTGGGACCCACAGGCCACCTTGGCCTAATGTTGCCTGCCACGCAGTGCCATCAACTTAGCCACTGGGGCCTCTTCTGTTGCTTGGATACACTAACTGTGGCCTTGCCTTAGAGGCTTTGCTTGGTTCCTTTCCTTCAGCTGGCTCCTGGTTTGCTTCCTGTGATCCCTCATGTCTGATCCAGTGTTGCTGTAAGGTCACCCTCAACCCTTGCCAGAGCACCCAAACTCAAGTAGCCATCCTACTTGCCACCCTTCCCCCACCTCTTCTGTTGACCTGGTGGCACATCTATCTGTTTTTACTGCGTTCACTTATGGATCGTGTGTTTCTGTCTGTGCAGGTGCTAGAACCTGCCCTGCCTTTTCCACTGATGCACCTCAAGGACTCAGAACGGTGCCTGGCATGTAGTGTGTTCTGCTGACTGGCTGACTTTTGGTCCCCTTACCAAGGACTACATGGTTACAGAAGGGGTGCCTGCAGTACTGACTACGGGCAGTCCCTGAACTCACAATGCCCAAGTAATAGTGTCCCTTCTCCATGCCCAGCCACCATGGCAGACAAGCCCATGTTCACTCTGACCCCCTCTGGTTCGCTTCTCGATGGTGCATATTCTCTTGAAGCTAGCTGTAGTGGGTTCTTGGCATTCTTGGTGCTCAGCCAGAATGTGGAGCTGGTGTGGCTGTAGAGAAGCAGTGGAAAGCTCTCGTACTTACAGTACTGCTGTTCAGCTACATTATGATTCAGATAGGCTTTAAAGTCCTAAAAGGACATTTAACTACCATTTTGTGGCATTCGGGCTTTGGAAAAAATGTATTTTAGGCTTCCAAATAACTGATTTGGAAATGCAGTCTTAGAACCCAGTAATTTGGAAGTTGAGTGCCACATGTAAGCATACTTGAGCTGTTAAGCAAATGGAACATAGATTCCCAAGTTGGTAGATAACTGACAAATCATTTGTCACTTTAGAAAAACATTGCTGTTAGCTGTAACTCTAAATGTGAGTGATCATGGTCTTCTTACTTGCCCTCCTCCCCATGCTACATTGATTTCTAAAGTGTGGGAAGATAGCAGTCCTATAGGAGCAACCCTTTCATTGTTCCTTCTCTTCATGGCTAAGTTCTAGGAGGTTGTTGATTGCTCTGCCATTTGCTTTTTTTTTTTGAGGCTGGGCTCAAGTGACCCTTCTGCCTCAGCCTCCTATGTGCTGAGATCACAGGGTGCACCACCAGGGCTGGCTTGCTCTGCCTTCTGAAGTAGTACCTAATTCTAGAGGAATGCAGACCTGTCACCTGTGCTTGTCTTAGTTCCCTTTGTTATTTCACTCCAATCTCTCCTGCCTGTGGACAGGGTATCCCTTAATAATCCCTTCAGCAAGCCCTGAGAGAGATTTTTAGCAAGAGCTTACTTCCTAGAGAGTAGAATGATGGCTGGTTCCTTTTTCTATTTCTGGAGGGTTTTGTTTCTTTATTTGTTTTTGCTGCAGTGCGGTGATGGAGCCCAGAGCTTCACGAGTGCTAATAAGCAAGTGCTTTACCACCGAGCTACATCCCCAGTCCTCCTTTTTCTATTTCTTATGTGACCCATGACATAAAGCAAAAGGCAGCTGAATTCTAGCTTTTAATTATTGAGGACAGCAGGCTGCTGGAGGGTTGGTGGGAGAGGAGTCATGTTTGGGTATATTTTGTTGTAGAGGCAGAGAAGAAGCGGGAGGCCAAACAGCGAGCTAAGGAAGCTCAGGAGCGGGAACTGCGGAAGCGCGAAAAGGCAGAAGAGAAGGAGCGTCGGCGAAAGGAGTATGATGCCCTCAAAGCTTCCAAGCGGGAGCAGGAGAAGAAGCCCAAAAAGGAAGCAAATCAAGCCCCCAGTAAGTTTGCTGTCTGGGCAAAGTGGCAGCCCAGGGCAGACATGTGCATGTTTTCAGGCATGAATGAGTGAGCAAGCTCACAGACCAGTTACATAAACTACATTCATACCTGGGAGTAGTGTGGGTGTCTGAAGAGTGTGGCCACGGGGAATGGAGGACTCTCTGGGGGAGCTGGTGCTGGCTGGCTTGTTTCCCAGTGCCACATACGGGTGTGTCAGTTGTGTCCTAGAGCACCGTGGAGCAGGGAGTCTCACTTTCTCTAGGGCTGACATCCTAAAGCCTATTTTTTATTTTTTCTGATTATAAATAATATGTGTTCATTGCAGAGATTTAGAAATGATATAATCTCAGAAAACAGCAGTCACCTATAATACATTCCCAGTAGTAATTGCTATTTACAAGTGATATATTGTATTACCTTTTAGGTTTTTCATACGTGTATTATATAATGATGACATTCACAGTATTAGTAAATCTGGACTCTGTTCCCAAACGGGCAGTAGTCTATCCCTGCTGAACACCCTCTGATAAGCCCTTCCTGCTCCCAAGGGGCTTGGACCATCTTCATGTTACTAAGGAGAGTGTAGGAACCTGGGGACTGAGCTACAGGAGTCATGCAGAATGAGTTCCAGTTTCCAGGGTAGTCCCTTGAGATCCCAGGGATGAGACATTTATGTTATGGTCTCTGTGTAGCAGAGTCTTGAAGAGCTCTAATATCTATAAGACATCTTTCTCCTCAGGTCTCGAGGAGTGGCTGAGTGGATCTATCTGCAGGGAGACTTGCATAGACTATAGACAGTGGGTCTCCTCAAACTAACAGAACTTCATTTTGTCTCTTGTGACTTTATCTCTCCAGAATCTAAGTCTGGCTCCCGTCCCCGCAAGCCACCACCCCGGAAACACACTCGGTCCTGGGCTGTGCTGAAGCTGCTGCTGCCGCTGCTGCTGCTGTGTGTGGCCGGTGGGCTGGTTGCGTGTCGGGTGACAGCACTGCAGCAGCAACCCCTGTGTACCAGTGTGAACACCATCTACGACAATGCTGTGCAGGGTCTGCGCCGCCACGAGATCCTCCAGTGGGTCCTGCAGACCGACTCCCAGCAGTGAGCTTGTCCTCCGCACCTGCTGCCTCCCGGCCTTGGAGCTCGGATTCCTGTGGAATTGGCTTCTGCTGGACACAACCTTTTTAGCGTCAGACCTACCTGCCATCATCAAATGGCTGCCAGTTGGTACTTGAGACCTCCCCTTTGTAGGACTTCTTGTTGTTCCTTAGTCAGGGTTCCCTGGTGGAATGAGAAGAAATGGGAGGTGGGGAGGGATAGTTACCTGCATGCCTAAAGGAGTAGGCTTGGGGGTGGGGAGAGAGAAAACAGCCTTTTCTAGTTATTGTACTAAGCTGTGTAAAGGCAAGGCTTGTTTCTACTAAATGGTCAGCTGTCACTACATTTATACTTTTGTATGTCACAAACCCTTTCTTTCATTCCTCCCTGGGTAGCCCAGGCAGATCAGGAGGCATTGTGTTACTGGGGACTAGGGGACCACCACATTCAGTAAATCCAGTCGAAATTGGGGAGGGGGTTACCTATTTCCTAAAAAAAAAAACTCTTGAGACATTCAACATTTTAGTGACCATCAAAACCTCTGGCTGTGAAAGGGACTTCACAACCCTCAGCCCCATGTAATGCTTGTAGGCAGAGGAACTGAGGCCTTCCATAACTCGCCCAGTCTCACAGATAGTGTAAGGTAGAACTAGACTCCCACTCTGGTATTCTTTCTTTCCTTGACATCATTTGGCTTCCTTTGTAAAGTTCAGAGAGAACAGAACTCACACCAGAATTCTGTCTCAGGCAAGGTGTAGATACTTCACAGTAGACAGAGTCATGACTCTATTCACGCCATCAGGGTCTTGGGCAGCTCCTGTGGAGTCCTGCCCTAACTTAAATAGCTTCCACAAAATGGCAGCAGGCCCGCTCCTTGCCTCAGGTTCAGAGCATTAACTCCCTGATTGCCAGGAAATGAGGAGGTGGATCTCTGCAAGGCTGCATTGTCTGTGACAGCTCCATTAGCACTAGGTGTGATTAAATACCTCAGAGGCAACCTGAACGCTCAGCTTCATAGACACTGAGGTTCAGAATTGTTTGATTCTAGACCTATAACAGAAGGGAAGGAATGAATGCAAACTGTAGGAAATGAAGGGAAATAAGTAGCAACAACGGAGCTGAAAAGTGGTGCATAAAACTAAAGACTAGCACAAACTAGGGCAGTACCGTCCATTCTCTTGGCTGCTAAATTAAGCATTTTCTTGCCTATGCTTCATCTTTTCACAACAGCTGGATGAAGGGATCAGAAGGACCATGTCTTGGTGCTCATTCACTGAAAACCCAATCGCAAGCTCCTTGCCTCTTCCCATAGGGAGCAAGAACCTGCTATAGTTTAGAGACGGAGGGCAGAGTCCAGCTTTTTAGCCCTAGTGCCCCTTCCAGGGTAGTTCTATCACTCATGACTGTCTTGGTACTGGAAGAAAGGACTTTGCTCTCTCCTCCCCCAAGGTAGCTGTGCCACGCAGGTCCACACCTTACTCAGAATCACTACACATTCCTTAGTCTTCCTCCAAGCTCCAGAGCCATTGGTATAAAATGCTTTATTGAAACTTAACACATAATACATAACAATGAGATATGAAAATACAGAAGTCAGCCTAGTTATCATAGTTCCTTTGGCCGGTTGAGGCAGCTCAGTGGCTGAGCCAACCTGCAGGCAAGAGTTCACTCCGACTTCGAGATTTGATGCTGATTCTTTTGGATTTCTACAATTATTAAATCCATGTCTGAGTGGTCTGTCTTTGTTCTTTTGTGTTTTGAGGGCTGGCTGGGGCAGGGGTAACAGCTGTTTTTGCTGGGAGAAGAGCAGAACCAAGTGTCTTGGCCTTCTGCCCTGAGTTCACAGGGAATACGACAAGTAAGGAGAGACTGGGCCACCCCCTGGCTAGGCCTCAGGAGGTGCTTCCAGTTAGGTTCTAAGGTTGAGGAGGTAGAAATCAGCATTTTATCCTTGTCCCTGTGGACTAGCATCAGTCAGCACTATCTAAAGTGAGATCTGGCTGCAAACTGGTCATCTGAAGGTAGACACGCCTAGACACCTCTGGCCCAATACGGCGGGAGGTGGACGTCACTCCTTCCCCGCGGCGCACCTGTATGTCTGCCAGCAAATTCTGGCGTTCTGGCTCCGAAAAACACCGCCGATAAGCCTGAAAGCAGTAAATGATCTCTTAATGCTGTACCATCCCCAGCTGTCCTCCATCCATGAACAAAAGGGTGGCAGGCTTGGTCTGGGGAATGAGAACCCAGGGTCCCTCTGGGTCAGCATGAACTGAGCCAACCCACACTGCTGACAAACGGCATCTTTGGGTCCTCAACAGGGCTGTTCATGGAAGTCATCTGGGGGGCCCTCTGAGGCCAAAGCAGGTTAGGTGACCCTAGAGCAGCATACCTCTACCAGGAGCCTTGGGGAGGGATAGGCATCCACAATAGCACTGGCCATTTCCAGGCTGACTCGGTTCAGCTGCTGAATCTGTCTTCTCCAGACTAGTGCCAGTCCCCTGCCAGTGCGGTCTACCTTCACCCCTCCAGCCCAGTCGCTCTCCAGGCAGAAGGAGAAGCTGTTTTCATCTCGGAGTGTCCTGCAGATAACAGCAGGGAAGCTGAGCTGCTCATTAGTCCTACACTTGTCCCTTCAAATAAGGACTGAAAAGTACTCTGTCCAGTGACCTGGAGGTGGATACAGTGTCATATCTGGCCAGTTTGAGCCTTCAATGATTTGAGCAATTACTTCATTTCCAAGCACAGCGTTAGTTGTGGTTTCCCTTAAAAAACTATAACTAGTCCCTTTCATTACTATAGAAGGTACCAGATTCTTCTGCTTGTAAGCTAAAGGAGAGTATTTTATTTATTGGTCCTGGGGACTGAACCCAGGGGCACTTTATCACTGAGCCACATTCCCAGCCCTATTTATTTATTTTTTTAATTTTTGATGGTGTTGGGGATTGAACCCAGAGCCTTGTGCATGTGAGGCAAGCACTCTACCAACTGAGCTATATCCCTAGCCCCTCCCTTTATTTTTTGAGATAGGGTCTTGCTGCTGAGGCTGCCTCAAACTTGTAATCCTCCTGCCTCAGGCTCCTGAGTTTTTGCTAGGAAAAACTAGCATGGCTGCAAGAATTAGCCTCAAAGGCAAGTTCCTACATGGAGGCAGCAGGCTTTTCTGGGGACACTCACTTGAAGGGTGCCTCAGCCACGGCCTTTGTGAATGTGCAGGCGAAGTCAGCCAGTTCTTTCCAGCTCTGCACAATCTGAACCTGGGCTTCGGTATGTAGCTGCAGATCCACCAACGCCTAGAAACCCCAAAAAAATGATGGACTGGAAGGGCAGAGAGAGACTAGTTGGAAGTGGTTCTCCCACTGTTCACAGAAACTGCACCCCAGCCTCTTAGCTCCTTATTTGATCCCTTCTCTCCTACTCAGGCCAGTATAGAAAGCAGTGTCTAGTGGGTAGTTTATTCTCTAGCAAACTGGATTACGTGACTAGTGAGCATCCACATGAACAGGAAGTTCTTACCTCTTCCACTTCTACCCTGGACACCACAGGCCCTGTGCTGGGCTCTCGTCTCTGCTGCTTCTCCTTGGCCTGTTTACTTGACGCTCCCTGTTTCCTTCTCCTTGGAGGATTCAGAGCCCTGGAGCAGGGGAGCAAAGTAAAGGACAGCACCTCCAGACTACACGCAGGCAGAGGAGTGTAAGAAAAGTGGACCAGGACATCCCACAGGGCTTCCAGGGACATCATCTTGCAGTGATTTATAGATGGAGTGAAGAAACTCACCCTTGTTGGCCCAAGAGCTGCCTCATTTAACACTAAGTCTCCAGGGAAAATCCAAACCTGAAGCATTTCTCATGATCCACAATCACCAACGATACAGCTTTCCCTGCTGTCCTTGCTGTGACGTCAGTTACAAAGCCTTGAAGTGTGTTCTTCCCTTTTCTGGCACTGCCTGGACTTCCCTGTGTGAAGGGGCGTTACCAGGTGCATTAACATTCCCACCTGGTAAGAGGGCTGCTCTGTTCCATGCCTCAGTCCCACTCCTCTGGCCCTACCCACCTGCTTAAAGTTGCAGATCAGGGACATAAAAGCTTCTGCCAGGAGTAACACAAGGACTGTCTGCTCCTCCACCCAGTCCTCTTCATCCTGCCAAAGGGCCCAGAACACAAGACAGAGAGGGAGATCAGCAGGTGTGGGGCCCCATGAGTGACCCAGGTCTTCCAGGTGAATGAATTCCCTGCCCCTTGTGCTGTTTCCTTCTCCCCTCACTCCCCCTTTTTTTGTGGTTCTTGGGATTGAACCCATGCTAGGAAAGTGCTCTACCACTGAGCTACATTCCCAGTTCTTTTATTATTTTATTTTGAGACAAAGTCTCACTAAGTTACCCAGGGTGGACTAGAACTTGTGATACTCCTGCCTTAGCCTCTCAACCTCCCAAGCAGCTGAGATTACAAGTATGTGCCACTGTGCCCAGCTTCCTTTTCAACCCCCCCCCAACCGAGTACTGAGGATTAAATTCAGAAGGCTTTATTATGAGCCACATCCCCAGCCCTCTATTAATTTATTTTAGTTTTAGTTTTGGGTACTGGGGATTAAACCCTAGGCATGCCCCCACCTTTTTTTCAGTGCTGGGTATCAAACTCAGGGCTTCAGACATGCTAGCAAGTGCTCTGCCACTGAGTTATATACTCCACAGGGTCGCTTTACTGCTGAGCCACATTCCTACCCTCTTTATTTTTTACTTTGAGGATAGGGTCTGACTAAGTTGCTTAGGGCCTTGCTAAGTTGCTGAAGCCATCCTTCTACCTTAGCCTTTCATATTGCTGAGATTACAGGTATGAACACTCCACACCCAGCTTATTTTATTTTTTATTTTGAGGCAGGGTTTTGCTAAGTTGTCAAGGCAGGAGGATCACACTTGCAATCCTCCTGCCTCACCCTCTAAGTAGCTGGTATTACAACCATGTGCTACCACACCCAAACTTTTTCTTCTTGACTGAAGTCAAGGTGGCAAGGAACAACACTAGTGATCCTGTTCCTCCCTAGCCCTCAATTCTTTAACCTTGGTGCACTGCACTTCTGAAACACTGAATAAGAAAGGAAGCACTGGGGTGCAGCTCAGTGGATCATAACCTGCCCTACAAAAAGAAAAAAGAAAGCAAACCCCAAAAAAGAAGTAGAAGAGGAGGAGGAGGAGGAGGAGGAGGAGGAGGAGGAGGAGGAGGAGAAGGAGGAGGAGGAGAAGGAGGAGGAGGAGGAAGAAACGGGAAAATTGGCACATTTAAAGGGGCTGAGAAGCAACTGCCAATTTTTTGTGTGCATTTTGAATAGGGGAATAGAGGAAACAAATACACGACTGCACTTTGAAGGTAGAGGCTAAGAGTTGAATGGCCCTTATAAACACAGGTTGTGGGTGAAAAAAATCACAAGAGGAACCTCTGTGAGAATAACTCCTCTTCATAATAGCAAGGACGCAGTCAAAGCTGAGGCTGCTTCAGGGCCAACAATCCAACAGCAAAACAGTATAACGAAGAGACTGCGAGACTGCAGAGCAGGAATTTTGCAGAAAGGTTTCTGATTGGGTCCCTAAAAGCAAAAGCAAGACCCCTCAGATGGCAAAGTGTAGATGGCAGTAGCTCTGGGTTCTAGTTCTGGCTGTGGTTCTGAACTAGGCTTTTAAATTCTCTGAGCCTGTTTCCCAACCTGTGGTGTGCAGAAAATTCCTACTTTATAGGATAACTGAGACTGAGACAAAGAGAGGATACGGGAGTGCCTAGAAAGGATAAAGTGCTAGACAAATACAAGGGTTTGCTAATACCTTCAAATAAAAAGCATGGGTTATTGTTCTCAATTACTGAGAAAGTTACGAGATCCAGAAAGAGAGGGGGAAAAAAATCTTGTTTCGTCTCTAAACTCTTGAAAATGATGGGTGGAGGACTGGGATGCACATACTCAGACATGAGGCATGACAGGTAAAGTATAGTAACCTAGGGATCCTCAGTGGGGAGGGACATACACTGAAGTCTACAAAATGCTGGTGCTGGGTAATCCGAATTCCCACAACAGGAGGACTAAAGTGATGTAACAGTGTCCTCATTTTACACATGAGGTCACTGAGGCACAAAAATATGCGTAACCCAAATAACTTACCCAGAGTAGCAGCAATAAAACCAGGAAGTTGGGATTCAAAGACAGGCCCCTTTCCCAAAGCCCAGTTAGAGAATTAAGAATCCTATGTGGATTATCTTCCCTTGCCCCACTCTGCCTAAGGAGGTGATCTCTACAGACACCACAAGGTCCTCGTGTTCACAGGCTCCCAGGTGGGAACCCAAATAGGGGACTGGAAAGGAAGAAGGGTGTGAAATCAGGGTATTTCTTTCCCTGGTTCCCTCCCAGTGGAGTCCTTTGGCATTTGCTACACTTCTTCAGGAGAGGACATAGTTTCTCTGAAGGTGGCCTTCTCTCTATTTCTCTTGAGGGTTTTCTTGGGGTAGGTATTGGGGATTGAACTTAGGGGCACTTTATGACTGAGCTACATCTCCAGTCACTTTCCCCCCCCCCACAATAGAGTCTAAGTTGCATAAGCCCTTGCTAAGTTGCTGAGGCTGGCCTTGAACTTGTGATCCTCTTGTCTCAGCCTCCCTAGTTGCTGGGATAACAGGCATGCACCACCTCACCTGGCTTTATGTCTTCAAAATTCTGCTAACCACTTTCTCCTCTCATCCCTCAGGCTCAGGGATTGTAACTGCTATGCCAATGCCTCTAAACCAGAACGATTTTTCCCACAAAGGACATTTTCTAATTGTTACAACTGGGAGGGGTGTTATTGGCATCTAGTGGGTGGAGGCCAAGGATGCTGCTAAAAATTCTTCAGTGTACAGCCCCCACCCTACAGAGAATTATCAGATCTAAAATGTCAACCTTACTGAGGTGGAGAAGCCAGGAATTATGCTAGCAAGACCCTGAGCTGCTGTGCTGTCCCTTGTAGTTTCCTTGTTCCCTGCCCACGCCTTGGGAAGCAATCTCTTTATTAAATCCTCCTCAAATTATCCTAAACTGAGTATGCCATCTGCTTTTCTGAAGCAGCCCTAAATGATGTATACCCTTTAAAATAAAAGCATTATTTACCCTGTAATCCTAAAAGGTAGAAGGGGAGAAGAGCCATTAGCCAGAAGACCCCTACCTCAGCCAATCCTGCCCGTCTCCTCCAAGTGATACTGCAAGGCACAGCCTGTGCTTCAATTGCACAGCAGCACTCCATGGACTGCAGAGCTCCCAGGAGCTGGCCCCCACCTTCCATCTGTAAAAGCACTGCAACAGATGGGAAAGAGCCTATCAGTGGGTGGTCCTGAAAGCAGACAGTTCAGCTCAGGGTGAAGACAGATGCTAGGAGAACCTGGATCCAGCACCACAACGATGTGCTTTAAGCATTCCTCTGGCCTCTGGGCTTTCAGCCTGTTGACCAGCGTTGCCTTCTTTTTTTCCTGTTGTCTTGGGGTGCTTTCCTTCCGGCCTGCTTTTTCCTGCAGCTGGCATCTCTGCAAGTCTCTTCTTGGAACATTCTTCCTGTGCTTGGTTCTCTTCTGGGGCGGGGGGACATCAGAATTTGTTTTGGTTACTTCCAGGCTATTGTTCTGAACAAGGTGGGTAAACTGGTAGGCTGGAGGCTGAATGCATGGATTGTCTAAGACAGGGTCCTGGTTACCTAGTACACTCCTCTCTAAGGTAACATGGAGGGGAACGTCAGGGATCTTTGAAAAGGGCTGTTTTTTCCAGTCACTTGATGCTTCTTCATTATTTTGATGATTCAAAACACTTTTAACTGGGGAACTAGAGTGTTCAGAGTTCAACTGCTTGTAGGTCAAAAACTTACACTTAAGCCTCTCAGCTAGGGGAACAAATTCCTCTTCACTCTCACTTCCACTACTTAGTACTCCGACTGGTTTTGTTTGTGTGAGAGTTTCATCAGTGTCTGAGACAGGTGGTGGATCTTTCAATCCTGGTGATAAAGGACAGGAGGCCTCAGAATCTGAGGAGTCAATCACTACAATCTTCTCTGCCCTTTGAGGCTGCCTCCTCTCTGTTGAAGATGGTTCCTTCTTCAGAAAGGAAAAAGTTGGCAACTCCTCGGAATCACTCTCACTGGATTCTAATGACTTCATTACAGCCACCAACATGTGCTTTCAAATTAATTGCCTAAAAGGAAAAGACATAAATGGTAGTGTCAATTCAGTTCACTAGACATGTTCTTATCACCAAGCTTCATGAAAATAAATGAGCCAGGTATGGTGGTGCATGCCTGTAATACCAGCAACTCAAGAGGCTGAGGCAGGAGGATTACAAGTTGGAGGCCAGTCATGGCAATTTAGCAAGACCCTGTCTCAAAAGAAAAAAAAGGTCAAGCTTGTAGGTCAGTGGTAGAGTCCACCCTGAATTCAATTCCAAGTACCATCAAAAAAAAGAAAAAATTTCAGTTTAGGGGGAGTAGCTCAGTCGTAGGGTGCTTGCTTAGTATGCACAAGGCCCTGGTTTTCATCCCCAGTAATGCAAAAATAAAATGCACACTTTAGTGGTTTTCATACATTCAGTGTTATGTAACCATCACCACTATCTAATTCCAGAACATTTTTATCACTGCAAAAAGAAATTTTATAGCCATTAAGAAGTCATCACCTTAGCCAAGTGTGGTGTGAATACTATATCTCCAGCAACTTTGAGAGGATGAAACTAGAGGATCCCAAGTTGAGGCCAGCTCAGAGAGACCTCACCTCAAAATTAAATAAAAAAGCTAGGTACAGCACTAGTCTACATGTGCACACCCCTGGTTCAATCTCTAGTAAAGCAAAAAAAAGTCACTGCCTTGACAACCAAAAATGCTTCTATAAATTTGCCTATTCTGGATATTTCCTACAAATGGAATCATACAATATGTGGCCTTTTATGACATGCTTCTTTCACTTAGCTTCATGTAATATTCCACTGTATGACTATGCCACCTTTTGTTTATCCATTCATCCCTCGATGTACATTTAATTCCTTTCCTTTTATTTACTATCATGAATAATGTTATTGTGAACATTCACATACAAAGTTTGTGTGGGTTTATTTTCACAATTCTCTTGTGTATATACTTAGGACTGGAACTGCTGGGTCACAGGCAAGAATCATTCTTAGAACAAATACTGTGTATGGACCTAAATAACCCCTGTAATCTTCCTGGGTCTCATTTTTCTTTTTCAGTATAATATGGCTTGAAAGAATTAAATGAAATAATGTATTTACCACGCTTAGCACCATCTAGCATTTTTTTTTTACTAAGTAAGTTTAATATTACTAGGGAGGGGTCCTGGGTCTCAGTTCTCCTGCCAAATGACGGAGTGGGACAGGCGGACCCCTGTGGGTCAAGCTCCGCACCGCGGAGGCCGGCGGTCCGCTGCAGAACTTCCCGCACGCCCTGGCCACCAACCCCTCTGCAGTCGTGCCCAGGCCCGCAGCCTTCACCGCGGAAGGTCCATATCCCGCAGAGCTCACCTGCAACTTCCCGCGCCACTCTTTCAACTGGCACGTATAACCCGGAAATAAATCTCCCGGTAGCGGAAGCAGATTTCCAAGACCGGAAGCGAGTGTGAAGCAATCATGGCGTCGGCGCTTCTGGCGCTGAGGACGCGGGCAACTAGTAAGTGGGGTGCTGTAGTCTTTTCGGGGCGAACCGGGAGGGAGGCCGGGAGTTGGAAACTGACCCCGAGGGTGGCCTTGGAGGCGTTGGGGTCGTGCGAGGGTTGAGGGGGTTGCTGCCACTGATCACGTGACAGGTCTTGGGCGCTCCTACGCGGGGCGGGGAAGGTTGGGGAAGCACGTGTCCTTCCTCTATCTGGAACACCGAGAGAGGACTTCCTTGGCGGTTGGTGACGCAGGCACACCGCTTCCCCTCTCTTGGTTTGTGTGGATCCTTTTATCCATGGAAAGGACTGAGTTCAAACAAAGTTAATCCATTTGTTCAACAGATTTAGGTCGTTCTCTGTGCCAGACACTGGTGAGTGTTAAGAATATCAGAAGAAAATATGAAGACATGGTCTCTAGCCGCTGGGCAGTTCTTGCTAGTAGATGGATCAGTAAGCATATATCAGTAAAATAGTTGATTTTTACAAGTGCCATGAAGAAAGAGAATATGTGCATCCTCTTTTAGATTGAATTGTCAGGAAAGTCCTCTAAGGAAACCTCTGAGGTTTAGACCTAAAGAACAAAAGGAGGCGGGGCAAGGTTGCACACGCCTGTAATCCTAGGGAGGCTGAGGCTGACCAGTCGTTTCCAGGCCAGCCTTAGCAACTTACTAAGACCCTATCTATAAATAAAAAGGGCTGGCCCTTACTATCTCATTTCTCCTTACCAAATCCTTACCAAATCAAACTTGGGATTCTCCTGTCTCAGTCCCTTCAGTTGCTGGGATCCTTTTCTGTTAATTCTTATCCGTGCTCCTTTGTTCGAGCTAGTTTCTGTTCTCATGAAAACTTCAGAAAGCTAGGCTTCCAAAATGCTGAATAAAGAGGCTGCAGACACTCAAAAAACTTCCCTACAGATGTTTGCATAGTACTCAAACCATGACTGAGTCTGGAGATCTGAAAGCTAGGATTGCTGTTCCTAGGTTTGTCGTACAGCAAGAGGCTTCCATGTTAGTATGAGTTTGAATTCATTGTCTTTTTTAAAATAAATGCCCTACCTTCTTGGTCTTGCATTTGTTCTTATTAATTTAAAATAAATGCCTTTGAGCACTTTAGGATGAGGTCAGATTAACTTCTTACATTGTATTGATCTTGGTTGGACTTCTGTTTGATGTACTTTGGAAAGAAAGGGAACAACTTGCTAAAATGTCCAGAAGCCTGTGGAAGCCATGCTCCACCAATTGCGCTTTTTGTATGCAGGTATCTGGTTGCAGTGGGTGAATGAATAGCTTCAAAACGGTGGGGAAGCTGCAGCTGAGGCCGCTCTGGGTGTCCTGTTGTTGGCCTGTCTGGGTTGGCTGTGCCTCTCCATGGGGTGTGAGGGTGAGTGAGGCTCTGAAACAGGCAGTGCTGTGGTGTCCTCTTGCCGGCTTTTTTGGTTTTTTCAGTAGGACTGAATGGCCAGGATTCAGAACATGTGATTTTTTCCCCCCCATTTATATTTTCCTATTCTCCCCACATCTGTACACCCCACTTCCCAGCGCGTACATGCACACACATACACTCCTATGCCCCTACCTCAGGCAGCACTTAATCTCCAGACAGTACAAGAAATGAATGGTCCCCTGTTATGGGAGAAGGCCAAAGGACTTCCAGGAATTCCTTGAAATCTAACACTTAGCATTTCTGTTCCCCTCACACATCTTTCTTATTTCCCCTGTCACCTTTTAGCTTAGCAAATGGGCCATGGAGGCAGAGAAAGATCTAACAGTGTTTCTGTTTTCTCTGCAGTTACAGCCCTGTTGAGCCCTCCTCCAGCTATAACTCTTGCTGTCAGAAATGCATCTAAGAAGACCGGTGGTAGCTCCAAAAACCTTGGTGGAAAGTCACGAGGCAAACATTATGGCATCAAGAAAATGGAAGGTGAGAATGTGTTTTAGCTTCCATACTTCAGTTTAGGGCTGAAGTATCTTGAAGACGAGTAAGTGTGAACTTTAGCAATGAAACTAGAGTGAAGAGGCTGCTGGGTAGGGGATTGGGCACTGCTTGGACCATTTGGCAGTTGTTTCTGTTGAGGGACATGCTTAGAGGTTGGTATGCAGCACTTTGGCCAGCCAACATGTTTTCCTAGAAGTTTGCTGTGCTGTCATATCACTGGGGCTGAGAGCACACTTGTGGACTTCTCTTCTAGGTCACTATGTTCATGCTGGCAACATCCTTGGGACTCAGCGCCAATTTCGCTGGCACCCAGGTGCCCACGTGAGTTGCTTGGGGGCCCTCCCCTCCCCTTTTTTCTAGGACCACCTTTCTGTCCCTAAATACAGTAATGAAAACAGTTGCATTTATTGGGTGCTTACCATATGCTAAGCATTGTGCTTATTCCTGCCCTTACTATCTCATTTTTCCTTACCAAATCCCTGTGAAGTGGGATTCACAGGTGAAATGCCAAAAACCTAAGAGAGTGGCAGGGCCTAAGTAACAGGGTTGTCTAACATTAGATGATTGCACATCCTATGCTTCATTTTCTTTTCAGTGGGAAATAGGAGTGGGTTATATAATTTGATATATGGGGCAACTGCAGCTACCTGAGCACTGAGAAGCAATATGCTTAAGCTATAGTAATGCAAAGGTGGCAGTTTTAAATGTTTTTAAAAGGTACGTGTTTTTAAAAGTTCTTAATAATGTACAATTCTAAACCAGGCATGGTGGTACACATCTATAATCTCAGCTACTCAGGAGGCTCAGCAGGGAGGTCACAAGTATGAGGGTAGCTGGGGCAACTTAGGGGAGACCCTGTCTCAAAATTAAAAAAGAAAAAGGGCTAGAGATTTAGCTCAGTGATAAATACCCCTGGGTTCAATCCCCAGTACCAAAAATAATATTTTTTAATAATAATGCACATATTATGACTGAAAGGAGCTTTTAGAATTAAATTCAGATTTAAAATCAAATTCAGTAAATTATTTTTTCTTCTTCTGTTAAAAACTAATAATGGTGGCTGGGGTTATGGCTCAGTAGTAGAGTGCTCACCTAGCATGAACGAGGTACCAGGTTAGAGCCTCAGCACCACATAAGTGTAAAATAAAGATATTATGTCTACCTAAAATTTCAGAATAAATATTAAAAAAAAAATTTTTGAATAAGTTGTGGCTCAGTGGCAGAGCATCTGTGAGGCACCGGGCTGGATTCTCAGCACCGTATATAAATAGATAAAATAAAGGTCCGTTGACAACCAAAAAAATATTAAAAGAAAAAAACTTGAGTAAAACAACAATAAGCAGTGTAGTGAATAGGGAGTCTGCCTAGCTGTGTTTGCCTTGGTGTTACGTTAGCCTAACGTTTTGGTTCTCCTTTCCAGTCCTCAGTTCAAGAGGGTGAGATGCCTTGTGAGTTCAGATATTTTCTTTTTTTTTTTTTTGAGTCTTAGGAAATTAAGTTTATTTATTCATTTTTCATGATTTCTAAGATTTTTCTTTGCATAAACCTGCTATGTGGTTGAAAGGTAGCTTGAATTTAGTAAAAACAATTCACTGTGTGTGTCAGAAATTCGATCCATACCAGGCAGGGATTCCAATTTCAGCAGGTTGGGCTTAGTTCATGAGATAGAAGAGTTCTTTGTTAAAACAGAACTATACTGTACCCTTCACGTTATTTTAAGTAATAATTTAGTCCCCTCCCCCTTTTTTTAAATCATCTACCCTTCCTCAGTTTAGTTTCCTTTGTAATTAAGCTTCCCACCTCTTTGTTGTGGGTAGGACGTTTTTGTTTGTTTGTTTTCTAGTGCTGGGGAGCAGATGATAGCCAAATGTTCCACATTCAGCCATACCCCCAGCTCATTTATTGCTAATTTTAATAGACACAGAAAGGCTGATAGTAATCTGTAATTATTTCAGAGATGCTAATTTGAATGTGAATTGATTTCATATGCAGTAGCTTTAGTTTTTAGAATTTAAAAGACTTTGGATGTGTGGCTAGAGAACTCTTGGAACTTGCTAAAATAACAGTGGTAAGAGCTAACATTTTTTGAGTTCATAGCATTCTAAGCTCTTTGTGACCATGAACTCATTTAGTCCTTAAGATGACCTATAAAGTAGTTAGTATTATACTGAGACACAGTAAAGTGGGATCTTAGTGCTTAGTAGTTGTCATCTGAAAAATGGGACTGAGAATAGTACGTAATTCACAAGGTCAGGATTAAATGAGTTGATATATATGTATACATATCTGTGTGTTTGTACGTGTATGTATACATATATTTGTGTATGTCATTAAACACCAGTTTGATGTACATTTTCATTTATATAAAGTTCAGGCTCTATCATAAATATAGATTGCCAGGCATGGTGCTACACACCTGTAATCCCAGCGACTCGGGAGGCTGAGGCAGGATTATAGGTTTAAAGCCAGCCTTGGCAAAAGTGAGGTGCTGAGCAACTCAGTGAGACCCTGTCTCTAAATAAAATATGAAATAGGGCTGGGGATGTGGCTCAGTGGTCGAGTGCCCCTCAGTTCAATCCCTGGTACCAAAACAAAATAAAACGCGTGTGTGTGTGTGTATAATCAATGTTATATGGATAATGTATATTTAATATAACAATAACAATAAAGACATTAGCTACTGTAGTGCTTAAACATAGTAAGCACTGTACTAGCTGATGTCATTATTATTGCTTTATTAACATACATTATCTATAAAATACTGATCTATATTTTCCATAGAGCCTGGACTGTCTATAAATGAAAATGTACGTTAGACTGGTGTTTAATATGACAATTCTTTTAAAGTATTTTAAAGTCTAAATAAAGCATGTTCGTAGGGACAATGATTTGAGACATTTTCCCTGGGTCTGGTTTTGGGATCCATTCAGTGTGGCTTCCAACCAGCATTCTGACCCAGCAGCCAACAGATTTGGCTGTTGGAATTTTCTTTTTCCTCTCTGTTACGGAGCAGAAGGCAAAAAAGTACTAAGCAGTGGGAAGGGAAACATGGAGTTCTCTAAACCTCACCATTCAGCCCCAGGACCTGAATCTTGGGGGGAGGTCTATGTGGAGGCTCTAGGATGTACCACCTGGCTCCCCATCCAACTAACCAAGACTATGTGTTGCAGGTGGGGCTGGGGAAGAGGAAGTACCTGTATGCCCTGGAGGAGGGGATAGTCCACTACACTAAAGAAGTCTACGTACCCAATCCCAATAACTTGGAGGCAGTAGATCTGGTTACCAGACTGCCCAAAGGTGCTGTGCTCTACAAGACTTTTGTCCACGTTGTTCCTGCCAAGCCTGAGGGCACCTTCAAACTTGTAGCCATGCTTTGAAGTCCTGGTTGAGGGCTTGGAACAGAGACTGGAGCCCAGGTGACAGGAGAAGGTGATACCAGAAGTCAAGTATTAGGGTCACAACAGGGCCTCTGAGGAAGAGGTCTGTTGGAAGTTGACTCTGCAGGAGACTCGGATGACTGCTGGGATGCCTTTTGGGAGACCTGTCCTGGGCCTAAATAAAGCCTGCTGGAATCATGAATCTGTGCTGTTTGGGGACAAACTTAGATGTAGCTGCTTACTGCTTTGTTGGTTCTTACCCATGTTCTCTTGTGTACACTAAAGGGAGATAGCAGGAAGGAATCCTGTCAGAGTGAGGAAATGAAAAGGGGGGCTTTGTTTTGAGGAGAGGGTTACATTGGCACCATTTCCCAGAGGAAAAGAAAGAGGTGAGCTTGGTATCCCAACTGCTTTCCCTGTGTATCCCCTAAAAGTCCAGGGGCTGGGTCCTGGGAGGGAGAGAGGGCAATAGAGGAAGCAACACAGTTGTATTCTCTCTTAAAGCCACATGCAAAGGAGCAGGCTTTAGCCCCAGAGATGGCTACACAGTAGGCCCCTGCCTCTTTGAATCCAGAGCAGAGGGAGCATGTGGGATGTCAGGAGGTTCAGTCAGGCCCCATCTGACCTGGAATACCAACGTCCTTCCAGTGGTGAGGCAGGTAGGTGACGAGTGACTTCTTCCCGCTTACCACAATAGCTAGACATAGTAAGCCCACATTCTTCTCTGGTTCTTAATTTATCTCAAACCACATAGCAGCAAACAATCTGGCTTTGGGAATACTTACTGAGGACCCAGAGCAGGCTAGGGGCAGGCATTCACTGTCAACCCAACCAAACACTTAAAAGGCCTAGCAGGGAGATTGCAGCCAGGGAGGGTAGCCATTCCTGGCGTTGGGCGGTAGGTGGGGTTGGCTGCAGTCCCAGAGAGGAGCTTAGAGTCCAGTGGCTTTTTTCTGAGGACTCTCCTCTGCCTATAGGCATGGGCTCCAATTATTTGGGGGCAGAGAAGTCTTCCTTTTCTGAAGTTTCACCTTGAACTTGTTGCCTTGTTCTCTCAAGACATGACCCTGGATTCCCCACTTCCTGTAGATCCTAGGCAAATGTGACCTGGGGTTTGTGGGGGTCCACTTTGGCATTTTTCCACGTGAAGTACCAGAAGGGCCCAGTAGAGCTAGTCCTTAGCAAAGGAGGTTGGTGGGGACTGTCTCTGTAGGCACAATGCTGTATCTTCAAGGCCCCTAAAGAAATAGGAAGGGGCAAGATGGGGTCACTCCCTTCTACAGTGATGTTTCCCTGAGCAAGGCAGGTGGCTGCCTCTTGGGATGGGTCAGCAGAACCACATTTGGGTGGTAGTGCAGACAGTGGCAGAGCCTCCTCATAACTTGGTGGCAGTTGAGTGATGGAAGAACAAAGGTATTGGCTGTATACTTACCTTTTTTTTTTTTGGAGTGCTGCTTTGTGTTCTCTCCCGCAGCAACAGGTCTTTCCTGGAAATAAGTTGGATCCCTATATACAAAGGGAAGTGGAGCCTCCAACCAAATTCTAGCTCCTCCACTAGTGGCCCTTTCTTTGTTCTAACCCAAGGGTCTCTAACGAGGCATTGTGTATGAAAGAGTGATCCGGGAAAATCAGTTCTTGTGGCACTAGGCTAGGAGGACTGAATGTCCACCTCTGCAGGCCTAGAGCCCAAAGTGTGCCATCAGCTGGTGAGTCTGCTGCTGCCAGTCCTGTCGAACATTCTACTTGGACAAGTGAACCAGCTGCCACAGGGTCCACAGTGGCTCCTGGGGAACCTCACACAGCATACCTCATCTCCTTGGGGATAACACCGTGACCAAGAAAAACCGACAGAGCCAGAAAGACATGCCACCATTATCCAGTTTCTGCTTGGATCCTCCTAAGACTAGGTCCCACATTCCCTCCTCCCCAAGAAACCTCTAGGCTTCATCTCATTCTTTCCTTCCCTTGCATTCTTCATAGTCTCCTTAACCAAACCAGGCTCCTTGCTGGCTTCAAGAGCCAGCACACACATCTTCCACCACTCCCAGATGGTAACCCCAAAGTTCCTATCTCCCCTGCATACCTCAGGACTCCTGTTCCTTCACAGGGGTGTGCCATGGTGCTGAGGTAGGGATGGAGGCAGTAAAACTTGAGTCACAAAGGATAACTCAAGGTGAAAAATCAAGATTTAGGATCATTGTGCAAGAGAGTAGAGTCCAAATGCACTGTCTTGTCCCCAGTTCCCTTTCCTCCCATCCTTTAGTCCTCTCTGCCAAGTCCCAGGCCACAACTCAGACTCTCAGCATTTCTGAGATGCATAAGGGTATAGAGAGATTCCACTTCTTTCGGGCCACTGGCTTATTCTCACAACCTGACAACCACCTCTGGTGAGCTTTGGAGGGAGTTAGAAAAGACCTCATCCTCCTGTCCCCAGCTCTTCATCCTGGACCTGATGCAGAGGTGGGGGCTGAAGCTCAAGATTACCTTTGCTTTCTGTATAGATGCCATATGGTGCCCTTGTCCCTGACTGCTGATGTTGCCACTTGCCCCTTGGGCCTCTGGGCTTTCCCTGGAAACTGGGGAGCTGGGTGAAGACACTGAAGTTTCCCTGCAGAGTTTAACAATGGCCAGTATGTCATTAACCCTTTCCATACTATTGCCCTGACCCACCGGGAGCCTAAGCTGGAGGAGGATGCATTCAGAGAAGAGAGCCCAAAGGCCCCCTGCTACTGAATAACTGCTTCCCCTGAGCAGGGGCCCTCTTGCCAGAATTGGGGAGGCAAGGGCTTGTTGGGGAAGAGTGCTTACATATTGGCTAGGACAATAAAAGAAGAGAAAGGAGCAGAGGACCTGGCAGCACTGGGGGTGTCGCTGGTACAACAGCAGGATGGCAGGAGGAATACCAAGGACAAAACTACCCTCCCAGAGGCTCAATCAGGGACAGCCTGGGACTGACTGTGGCCCATTTCCTCCCTGGGTTAGAATCCCACTCCAGAAGCTGATGTGGGAATGACCCGCTTAACACACAGGGCAGACTTGTGTGCAGGCAGCTTCCTTTCTGCTGCTGCATCAACTCTCTGGGCAGGAGAGCACAATGGCTTTGTCCTATGTCTCCCTTCAGCCCAGGGAAGCAGTGCCATGTGTAAGGGAGACTTTACAGAGGAACACATTTAGGGAGGAGGAGCAGATAACCTTAGAAACAGTGGGTCTGAGGAGGCAGGAGAGAACCCAAGAGCCTGAACTCAACCCTTGGTACTCAGCCCTCTCCTATCAGACTGTGGCACTGTAGAACTTGACACTAATGGGGAGAGACAGTGACTCATAGTGCCTCCATACAGCATTCTTCCAGGTGGTTTTGGGAGGAATGTTGTTATTACAGGGGACCTATTGATGGGGCTGGGCTTCTGGTCTATAGTTAGGGGCTCAGAGTGCATCTGCTCCAACCCTATGACTTGGAATGGCAGTAGGTACTGATCATGGCCATGACTATGGCTAGGAAGCTGTTGTCCATGGTGTGGACACAGAAGCAGTGGCATGGAGTGCCAGGAAAGGGCATCAGCCCTGAGGGTGGCCACCAGGACCACTGGTCCTCCCCCGAACTAGAGGGTCAAGAGGATCGAGCCCTTCAGAGCCCTGGTACCTGTGAGGACCTCTCCAGGTTTTCCACTCCTTCTGCCTTCTTTTAGGAGTACTAGGCCATGACCTGGTGTCCTGTAGATGGCATTCCCCTCTGTATGCCTTGAAGCCATGAGGGCATCTCTATCACTTCAGGAGAATGGGTTGGTGGGAAAGGACTCGGCTTCTGCTGAACCTGACAGCCAGGCAGGGGAGCTCCAGTTTGCCAAGGTTCTGCACTTGGTCTCAGATCTCCTTTCAGTCTGACTCTGCCTATCTCTACTTCTTATTGGCCTACATAACTGGGTTCTGGATGCCAATTGGCTGTCTTCTGGTCTGGGCTCCCACCTCTAATGGAACTGTGGATTCCATGGTTACCCTGGAAACTGGGCTTGTACCACAATACACAAAGGCCTCTCTGCTGGGGTTCTTCCTCCTTCCAGAGCAAATATTGTGAGCTCTGGGGACTTGGCCTGACTGAGCTTCCAGGCTGAGCTAACTCTCCCTACTAAAAGACTAGGGATTCTGGCAGAGAAGCTGCTCCCAAACTTGCCTCAGTGATGTGAACAAAGGAGGGGAGGCCAAGACGGCCTCCACTTTCAAGCCTACCTTCTAAGCCTGTTGGGAAGAGTCCTAGACTCTGGTCCTGGGTCCTACAGAGCTTCTACTTCACTAAAGCCAAGACAAGGCAGCCAGAGCAACAGGGCTGGGACCAGACTTTCCTCGTTCTTCTGCCTGCCTGCAAATGAGCATCACTGGCGAGCAGTGACAACCATTGTTGGACTGTCAGACCAGTTAAACCAAGTTCATGATCTATTGGGCTAAACAAGAATGCAAATACAGAATGTTTGCAGCAGATGAGAGCAATGTGGAACTAAGACCTGGTGTGACATGGTGGGAGTGGCAGGGGCTGACACACAGTGCATGAGCCACCCAAACTAAGACAACAATGGTTTGAGAACTGTTGTGCTACGCAGCCCTGGTTAATGTGGGCTGCTTTGTGTGCTCTGGGCCAGCAGTTCAACTGTTTTGGTTTGGCCTGTGTTTAATATGCTGAACCCAGATAGTAATTTTTCTGTTTAATGGCCTAAGAGTTGGGCTGGAGATGTAGCTGAAAAATAGAGCACTTGCCTCGAATGCACAAGGTCCTGCGTACCAACCCCAGAGCCAAAAAACCCTTCAGAGTTGATGTTGAGAAACAAATCCCCCAGTGATCTGGAGGACTAGAGTACAGCTTCAGATATTCACTAAAATAGGAGTAAAACACAATTATATTCACTTTGAACCTGAACATCATGAACTATATGCTCTTGCTGTTTGCCCCTTCTGGTTACCTGTCTAGTCAAGCCCTCAAGAGAGAGCATAGTTATTTCAGTGGCTAAGGCTTTCTACCTCCTTCTGAAGTCTGCTGCTACCACTGGATGACAAGCTTTGGGCTTGTCATTTCACAGTTCTGAATCTCAGTTTCCTGATAGGCCCCAGGAAGGTAATAAAAGTGCCTGATTTTAGGGGTTGGGAGGATTAAATGAGAACTGCATGCAGTCAGCCCAGTGGCTGAACAACCCACTCTGGTGCTGTTACTAGTGG